AAGGAATTGTCATTCCACAATGTATTGAGTCTCAGGCTTAAATTCTTTTCACACATTGCAAAATATTCTATACAATGTCACTTTAAAGATGCGGAATCATAAAAAGAACATAATTCCAAGAGTCAAGTTGGCAAAGCATCTATTTCAATCTGAAGAGTCAAGTTGTCACATTGACAACCACATAAAGAGTGACTTTGGATTTGGTGATTGGTAATATAATGCACTGTTATATGAAATACTGTGTTTGGATTGGCTGGAGTCGGACACACCTTCCTTAACATTCTACTTTTAACTTTAGGCAAGTTTAGTGTATAAAATAACTTCATTTGAAAATATTTATTAAATGACTGTGACATGTCATATAGATCATAAACAGGGATGTTGAGTTACAATTAATATTCCTTTGAAAACATTGAGGAGGTTTTGGTTATCAAAATATTATAAATATTATTTGATGCAGAAGTTTGCAGAAAAATTAAGAAAACTCATAATAGCATTGACTGGAACTAACTCATTATAATAGGCTGTCACCCCTTTTTAAAAATAGAACTGCTCAGTGCATACATTAAAAATTATTTTCTGCACATATACCGATAAATAAACTCATTTGGTGCGTTTGAATTTTCGATATTGACATCTGATCTGAGAGTGTACTGATATATAGTGACAACGGTATGGGAATAGTATCCAAGCATAGACGTTTACTTGGTTTACTTTTTTTTATTAGTGCACTCACATTATGCTTTTTATTTTGTAAACAAAGTCTAGAAATCAAAGAAACATTTGATGTCAATGAAGTACCCAAGGAAATTAACGCTAAAGTGGCTAGTATAGATTCACTTAAGAATACAGATAAATGGATCATAGTAACAACCATATCGTCTCCCACAGAGGATATAAAAAGTTTAGCAAAATTGACAGAATGGCAGGTACTTGTTGTTGCGGATACAAAGACTCCAAAGAACTGGCAGTTAGAATGAATTTTCACATCTGTTTCATCGTATTCGATTTTCGGAAGAATAAAGATAGGCTATAAATCATATCTAGATCAAAATATCACGTTTTTGGAAACATTCCTAAAATCATATCATAGAACATGCATTGAATGTCAAAAATGACTTGTTTTTAAAATCTATTTTTCCCAAAATTCCAATATTCACATTCGTATTTTCACAGAAAATCAAATTAATAATTTCTTATTCTGATATCAAAATTATCAATGAAAGGAAAGTCATTAAAAGGGACAATATATGATATTTCCCGAGGACCAGAGGGAAATATCATATTGTCACGAGGAACACACCCAAACATGTACACGTATTTAATCCCGACCAGTAGATAAGATTTATCCCATGCCATTCACGGCTCTTCGTAAAATTATTAGTTCCATATATGATTTTTGTATGAAACAAAATAAGATTCATCACAGGGCATTTGCATATTGCTCTGATTTCTATGGCGTTGATTATGTCAGTACGAAGCCTTATAAGGGACATGAACTTTTTTCGGAATCAAGAATTTTAGTTTTAATTAAAAAATTTCCTCGAATAATTTTTTTTTAATTCAAAATTTTACATGAATTTTCACATTGGTGAAAATTATTACCACCTCGGTAGAAATTATTTACTACTAGCGGTAGACACAGTAGGGGTCGTTTTGTAGTAGAAAGTTTTTTCTTTGCATTTTTGGATACCTTATTGTGTCTACATAAAATATTAGGAAGATGCAAAATTGTGCAGGTTGAGCATTTTTTATAAAATGACATTGAAATTATGTAATCATTTCAGAGGTGGGCGTGGCACTTTATTTAACATATTGTCATATAAAGGTTGTATTTTCACCTCAATAGACTGATATCTTAAAGTGTAAGCATGCTAGTAATAACTACAGATAGCTAGAAATGATTTATGAGCACAATGTAAAGCAATTAAATGATATATTATGTAACAATTTCAGGTGAATGTGGCAATTTTGCTACTTTTTACTCATTTTCACTTTTTCAGCTGAGCTAAATATTTTTGTAACTAACTTACCACAAGTTGGGAAAGAGTTATATTTACATTATACATTTTATGCTTGATCTACATCATGACGGATTTTGACCCCATTTGTGTATCAGAACTGAACACAATAGTGACAACCATATTACACTGGTGCCTAACTTTTGTTGTATGGTCACATAGCATAGTGTTGCTCATGGTTATAATAATTCACATCACATCTATTTTTCAGGATATCCTAAATCCAAAAATGAAAGTCAAAGAGGTCATATGTCACATTAAATTGACCATTTCACTAATTATCTCCCTAGAGATCTTTCATCGCTTGAGTGAACCAGATCTAACTTTTCTGCTAGTAACCATAGGAACAGTTGAAAAAAATCCAGGTCCCACAGAAAAGATACATGATGTTAAATTCCTTTTCTCAAATATCAACAGTATCGGAGCATCAAATGGCGCCAGGTTTGAAACATTAAGAAATAGAGTTACATCAGAGAATATTAGTATTGTAGGCATTTGTGAAGCTGGGAAGTATACGTATGATGTGATTGACCAACGATTTCCTCTTGGTGATGATTTTCATCCCCCATTGTACAACCCAAACAACAGGGGATTATTAATTTATGTTAGAAGGGAATTATTATTAAAACCAAGACCTGACTTAGATACTACAGACTGTATCTGGGCAGAGATAAAATACAAAAACACCAACATTTTATATGGGATTTACTACAAATCACCCAATTTAGATAGAAATCAAGAAAAACTATTTTTTGAAAATGCTGAATATACTTTTAAGCAAGCCTCTAAATGTCAGAATGATTATTTACTTATAAATGGAGATTTTAACTCCAAGAACAAAAAATGGTGGTCTGATGGGCTTACTGATTCAAATGGGGAAAGACTAGATGAAATTTTGATTGATAGTAACCTTGTCCAAATTATTCATGAAGCCACAAGAATAACCAACCAATCACGATCATGTATCGACCTAGCCATTACCAATGCACCAGACCTTTTAAGAGAAACTAAGGTTACACATTCAATAGGCTGCACTGACCACTCGACATTGGAACTAACATTTCCAATGAAAATTGTAGGAACCTCCAAATATCAAAAACGTCTTTGGAAATTTGACCAATCTGACAGAGCAGAGATAAACAGCCAAATTTTTGACATTAACATTGAACAAAATTATAGTGAATGTAAGGATATTGATAATTAACAGAATCATTTACTAGAGATATATTTAACATTTTTGAACAAAACATCCCAAATAAAAAAAAACTTCAGTTCTAAAGACCAACCATGGATAAACAATAACATTCAACACTTGATTAGAAAAAATCACAATTCTATGAAAAGTTCAAAAATTCGAACAAACAGATTGACCATGACAACTATAAACTCCTAGCTCAGCAAGTGAAAGAAAAAATCACTGAAGCCAAAGAAAACTATCACTCCAAAATATGTGACAACCTTGAGACAGAAAATAATGGAAGCAACAAATACTGGGAAATTATTCAAAAACTTTTAAACAGAAAATACTACAGTGGTTTCCACTCTTTAAAAATTGGGAATCTCCTTGCCACTACAAGCCTTGAAAAAGCGAACCTGTTTCTATCATTTTTTCACATCAAAATACCATACTGACCATATTTTTGACAACCCACTTCCGCATTTCAATAGAAGAACTCAAATCAAAATTGCCAACCTAAATACATCACCGGAAGATGTTGACCTAATTATAAGATCATTAAAAAAGAACAAAGCAGCCGGCCTAGACAATATTACTAATGAAATGATCAAACTAGCCTCTCCATCATTATCAGTTAAGCTTGCTGTCCTATTTAACCTGATCTTCAAGTTAGGAAAATGTCCTGCTATATGGAAGGAAGGCAACATCATACCAATTTTAAAAAAAACGACAGAACAGCTACTGAAATTATAGGCCCATAACTCTACTTCAAGGACTTTCAAAGATTTTTGAGACAGTTGTGCATTCAAAAATCACTGAACATATCTTTACAAATAAATTACTTTTTGCAAAACAATCCGTATTCCTAGCTGGTCACAATACCGAACTCCAAATTACGGCTATCATTGACTTCATTATAAATGAATTTGAAAAAGGGAAAGGTGTAAATGCCTGTTTTCTTGATATCAGCTCTGCTTTTGATTCTGTTCCGCACGTGTTGCTCCTCCATAAACTTGAATCCTATGGAATCTCTGGTATGACCTTATCACTTCTCAAATCCTATCTCTCAGAAAGAAAAATCTGTGTAACAGTAGATGGTGTAAAATCTGCCTTGTCTAACCCCGGATATATCAACACAGGAGTGCCTCAGGGATCTGTCCTTGGGCCACTCCTCTTCCTTATCTATATAAACGAACTTCCTGATGATCTAAGATCAGAATGCTTCATCTATGCTGATGACACGTCAGCCTATGCGTCCTTTAATATTGATGGTAACCAAACTTTTGACCTGCAGCATGATCTGAACAAAATTGAACAATGGTCTGCCAAATGGCACATGCAATTTAAGGCATCAAAAAGTGCCCATATGATATTCCAACCTAAAAATATAAATAATTTTGACATAAGTCCGCTTTATTTTGAAGGAGATACAATTCCATACAAAACTTCCCATAAAACACTTGGGATTCATTTTTGACAATCGCTTAAAATTTGACATACACATAAATGAACTTGCCAGCAAGGTGCAAAAACAGCTCAGCCCACTGAAATCACTATCCTACAAATTAAAGTCAAAGCACCTTGAACTTATATATAATTCCTTTATTTTACCACACTTAGATTACTGCAGTTCAATTTATGGCTCTAGCACAGCTCAAAACTTGATAAAACTTGACAGACTGCATAACAAAGCAGCACTCAGCTGCTCAGGGGCTCTTCATGGATCAAATACTATAAAAACTCTTAATTGTCTAAAGTGGAAGCCACTTGAATCCAGAAGAAGAGATAAAGATCACATTATCATGTTTAAGATTTGTAAAAACATGGCACCCGATTATATAATTGAACTTTTTGACCGTTATAAATCTGAGCCAAGAAGGGTTCTTAGAACTCATAGACCTTTCCAAATACCGGCAAAATCAAGCACTCGACTTAATAAAGCACCAGTATTGCGATTAATTTCTGAATGGAACAGGTTATCTCCAGAAGATAGGTCTATTCCCACCATATCAATGTTCAAAAGTAAAATCAAAAACAAAACTTTAAAATTCACTGACTTCAATACAACATCAAAACTAAATCTATCTCGAAAACAAGAAATCATCCTAAACAGAATTAGATGTGGACTTTATTTTGAATCACAAAAGTTTGCCCATAATTTTCCTAACACATCTAACCTATGTGTCTGTGGTAAGAGTGCAGCCCAAAAACATTTAATTCTGCATTGCAAGCGCCATTCTACTCAAAGAAAACGCCTTGAAGAATCCCTCGAACAGTACAACCTATGGACCCCACTCAATGGACAAGAAAAAATTGAATCTCTAATTTTTCAAAATTCCCTTTCACTTGGAAAGGATTCTGATTTAAAAGAAAAGTTTGTTGAATTCGTTTCTACTATAACTTAATTCATTTCTTCCTGATTTACTGTTGGCATCTAAGCTTACTGGCACTTACTCACCCGCCTTCCTTAAATGTCCTTAAATGTTGTTTTATGTATAACTTGAAATGCTAGCCTATAATGCAAAGTGCGCTACTACTGTAATTACTGTATACCTTTGAATTGAATAAATATATAATGAAATGAAATAGTGAGACAGATTTAGGGAAAATACCACCAGAACGTTTCAAATTGTGATAGAAGCGTGAATTTTGGTACAGAGTTTCTTTAGAGAGTTTTAAAAAAATTGATCCGTGGCCGCAAGAAAAATTTTCACTTTTTGGTCCCAAAATTCAAGATGGCCGCCAATATATCCGACGATCTTTCCAAATGTTAATACAAATGAAAAATATAATCATGTATTGAGCTACAAGTGCTAGATTTAAGTTCAAATGAAACTTTTATGTCTCTTGAACCTCAGCAATCATTTTAGATGCATTATGTGTCCACTAAGGGAAGAAAATAGGTGTAAAACAAGGATCGGCACTATTACCATTATGTTTTTTATGCGAATTAACATAAACATGTTCATATTATGCTTAGATGGTTATGCTGTAGATCAGATTCTCTCTCAATCACATATGTTCAAACATATATAAGGGTGTGAATTCAATATCAGTTGCTTAATAGAAGAAAACATAGCATGTGTCACTGGTTGTGCTCCAGATTGTGCTGGCACAATCAACGCAATTCTTAGTTTTAAGAGAACTACTGCTACTGTTGTGATTCATTGACTTTATTCACCTTAATATGCATTCTTTCTTCAGAAAAAACTTCATTTGGAATTGAAATGATATTAATGTATCCATAAATGAATAAATGGTGTGTGCTTTTGAGTGGACTGTATGAATCTGTATGATGAGATAGCAATTAGCAGACATTATTTTCTATTTTGATGATTTTATTACAATTTTGGTTGTTCAGACTTTCCTATTTAAATTAAACCAACAATGAACCTTTTACTGTAACTCTGAGTTTGATGAAGTTTCATTAATTGAATATGTGGTGTGTGACAGAGTTCTCCAGTAAGGAGATAGGAAAAGTTGAGAAACTGTGAATTATGAACCTAAAATCTATTTTGTCAATCTAACTGCAAAATGTATATTACCAAAGTATCACATTACTTAATACACATCAAGAAATATGTATACTCTAAACACTGCATCTAAAAAGTTATATTTGTTATTAAATGATTAGCCTATACCAGATGTTTTAGCACTGGTAAATTCTCTTCATCTTTAAGCATTTTTCAATACTGCTAAAAAGTCTGTGAGGCAGTGGTTTTAGTAGTTTTAATTTCTTGATTTGACCCAAGTAGTGTGAATACTTTTGTAAAGAAATGAACTATGAATCTATGATCATAAAATAATGACAAGTGCTTCATAAGTAAATGTGGTGATCTGTTAGGGACTATATCTTGCTAAGACCATGGAGACTGCAAATAAATCTGAGAAAGACATTATCTGGAACAGATGTGTTTTATGTAAGGAAGTAAAAGATGAACCTCTAAGATGTCCAGTAAACAATCCCATACAAAGTAAAGGACATACGTATGAGGTCCTGGCTACCAATCTTGAAGAGTTCCATGAATTTAACTGTTTGCCTATGAAAGTAGACTTAAAGCTGGACTTCCCTCCGAAACGCAATCTTGGGTTGTTTCGGGGGTGAACTTTATCATTTTGAGCTTAATGAAAGATTATAGAATGATGAACAAATGGGGCAAATCTTGTGTAGAAATACTTACGATAAATGTGTCATTTCAAAGATTTTTCATTGAATTTGCTTCGATCGGTGCCGGCAATATGATTTTGGAAAGGTTTCTAAATGAAGAACGTGACGTCACTTCCGAATCATAGCATTCAAAATAATTAGAGTTTAATTACTTTCACTCTTCACTAGGACACGGTGGTGTAGGGGTAGAGTCCTCGCTTAGCACGCGGGAGGCCCGGGTTCGAATCCCGCACCCGCCTTTTTATTTTTTTAACTAAATGATTGTTCTTTGATATTACGCAGAAAAAAACAATTTTTATTTACATAAACTTTATATTAGAGCTTGAAAGTGTAAAAACAATATATGTCAAAATATTGCGTTTTGGAGCGATGTGCAGGTTTAAGCAAGTTAAATGATGGCTCGGGACTATTTGCTTCACTGCTAAAAAATGCAAAATTTCACCATAGCTGTCACAGACGATTCAGCAGTAGTGAACTTGAACGTGCTAGAAAATGTGTATCTAGCAAGAAAAAGATGAATGATGATATACTCCCAGAAACACAAAACATGTATCGTAGAAGCATGAATACAGGTTCGAGCGATGATCGAAAATGTTTATTTTGTGAACAGCAAACTGATAAACTATGTTCTGTATCTACATTTGCCCTTGAGGAAAAAATCCGTGAATATGCAAACATTGTGCGAGATCCAAAGATCCTAGTCAAACTTAATACTACAGATCTAGTTGCATGCGCGTTGTATAATTTGATGAAAAGAGCTCATGCTATCTATCTTCAAGTAACAGAACTTGCTGGTGAAGACCCTTTGTCCTTTGAAAACTGGCAGACAAAGATGAGAGCAGAGTCCCCTATGTTCCAGTTTTGGGCTATAACGCTTGATATGGAGCTGCTGCTACTTCTTCTTGTGAGGTCTCTTCGTCTTGGAGATTTCCCCCTGTATATTGACGTCCTCATAGAAATGTGCCCATGGTTCTTTTCATTGGACCACACGAACTATTCAAGGTGGATTCCAGTTCACATTAAAGATATGATTCAACTTGAAAATAATCATCGAACCATTCATGAGGCCTTTGTTGCAGGACATTTCACGGTCTCCAAGTCAGCCCGTTCTTTCTCATCACTAGCTGTGGACCATGCTCATGAGCAAAATAATGCCCTCATCAAAGGTGGCGTTGTAGGAATCACAGAAAGCCCAAATGCTCTAAGACGATGGATGGTGGCTGGTCCTGGAATTGCCCAGATTGTCCAAGAATTTGATGAAAACTCTGCGGTTGGTGATCTCAGAAACGATGATGATAACAGTCACCATGAGCAATGCCAAAGTATACAGAAACAGTTCAGTCAAAATGTAACTGCCATGACAGATGTCATTGACAAGCTAGGAAATCCATTTCTTGCTGCAGATGATACTCTATATACAATAGACACTAAGGACATGACAGACCCTTCTGTGGTGACAACTGTCAGAACAATAGAAGACCTGGGACGCAGAAAATACCAAGAATTCTGTAATGAACGCAAGCAAGATTAGTTAGAGAGCGCCCAACTACAGAAGCTACAGTCATAGATGGTGCTTTCCTCATTCACCTCCTAAATCCTGGAACAGCAAGAACCTTTAATGACTATCTGACCTCCGTGTTTCTACCAAGCGTGATGGCAGAATTACAATATGTTGCCCGCCTTGATTTGGTGTGGGATGAGTATCTCGATAAAAGTCTAAAAATGTCAACTAGACAGAAGCGTGGCCAGGGTGCTAGATCTGATACAACTTCATGTTTCTACGGACATGGGAAACTTCAAGCATGGAAGCTGTGGAATGTTTATCCAGAGATTACAAATGGACTAAGTGCCCTAATGTATCCTGACATCATAAGGAGCCAGATGCTCATGCCACAAAAGTGGACTTTTATGCACCGAACTTTGCAAGTGTTATGGAAATTGTCATAATATGGAAGGATAAACGTTAACATTTAACTATGTCAATTCATATGAGAAAGTGTGGACCTGTCTTCAGAGTGACAACAGTTATCTGTGACCTTTTAAAAGAATGTTACAGCAGCAATATTTGACATTTTAGATCTATATTTTGAGCATTAGTGACTGGATGATAAAATAAGTGAGGGATCAAATATAGATCCTTGTTAAACACCATTACTTATTATGAAATAGTCATATAATAAGGTAAAGTGTACCTCAAAAGCTATTTAAGGTCTTAAGTCAATGTTTCTACTGACACATAACTCTTATTTAGCTGAATACATTCAACATTTTCTATTCTTGTAAAATTCTTGACGATAATGACATGCTATGGCGGCCATCTTGAATTTTATCTGAAATTTTTAAAATTTAGCTTGCGGCCACGGATCAATTTTTTTAAAATTGGATAAGGAAGTTATATTCCAAAATTCACGCTTCTATCACAATCTGAAACGTTTTGTCATAAATCAGACTCACTAAAATGAAAATGCACAACAACTATGGTGGCATGGGATATACAGAGCTCATGCTAAAAGTATCCAACACTATTGCATTTTTCGGTTTCCTCAGATGTGAGGAATTTACAAAAATGTGTTCAACAACATTCGTACATATCAATATGGGGATGTCAAGACAAACTATATATTAACCTAGGTAGGATGACGCAAAACAAAACAATATTTGAATATGCAATGTCTCTGTCACGGAGGTCGATCAAATGATCTATTCTTCTTGACTTTTGATGGTGAACCATTGAAGCGAGCCTTGTTTAATAATCATCTTAAAAGTGATCTTCAACGACTGGGTTTGAATGCGGATAATTTTAGCCAACATTCCTTTAGAATGGATGCAGCTAGTAGTGCCAAATACGCGCACTTTGGAGATAGTATCATCATGTTATTGATGGTCTAGTGATTCATACCGACGATAAATAAGACCAAATCAGGATACCATGAAGCACGCCCAGAACGCAATGGCTCGTGTTTAATGGGGCGATTCGCCAGTGATATCATATGGGACCAAAATGGTCCCGTCGGTAAAAATGCAAATTTAGTTACATTATGGCAGCCCGTATGATCGGTATCCTGAGTTCTGATTTTTTCCATACTTCTGAAAAGGGTATCTAAAAATTGCAATTTTGATTTCATAGGTACTTAATATTTATTATTCCACATATTTGTTAATTTAATTACTGGTATTTCAATAATTCGTAAGGTTGGCAAGGTCTAAACTTTTCGTAACATTTGAATTTGGTGCCAACAACTTTTGCCTATTAGAGCAGTTTTTACAAAAGCCTTAGAGGCATTCTTGAAACACATGGATGAAAGATTGAATTAATATATGTGATGGTCAAGTTATATTCATATCGTTTTGAACTTTGTGAATTTTTGTTTTGAATTTTACAATTTCATTTTCTATCAAGTTTATGGGATTTGTTACGCGGTATATGGCATACATTCATGGTTGCGCGGTATTTGTGATACGGGTGAATATGCCCTACTCACCTGCGGTATATGGCATATTCCGCAGGTGAATATGCGATATTCCGCAGTGAATATGCGATACATTGATTACAGTGAATACCTGATACTCACATGAGAAATATGTCATATAACACAGGTGAATATGACATATACCGCAGATGAAAACGTGATACAGAAAGCCTTGGTTTGATTGCTTGCGAGAATCGCCTCTTAATGTAAAACTACGCTGGATTACCAAATTAGTTAGTGCGTCGAGTACTAATATATGAATCCTGGTTTGATTGAGAAAGTTTATTACGCGAGATTAGTGACTGATACTTCTGCTAAGTTAATATATTCGATACACAGTACTGTTGATTCAGTAATCATTATAATAATTTATAACGTTTTACTTGTTCGTTCAATCGATGCAATTGACAATTACGTATTTCCGTATCGCGTCATCATTGGTTAGTGTGTATGCCATATACTGCAGGTGAATCTGTCATACACCGCAAGTGAATATGCCATATTTGTTGCGGAATATGACATATTTTTGTATCGTGTTTACCGCGAAACAAGTTTGACAGTAGGTTAAAATCAAATACCAACCATCGAACTCTATCAATACGCTACCATGGTAATATCAAATATTTTAACATCTCGTAATTTTGTATTAGGTCACGGCTAGTTGAGTGTGACCCCCGGTTGTTACAGAATGACGTCCTAATACTGATACCTGGATCCAAGTACAGGGTGTACGGGAGGAAAAGATACAAATACTCTCATTTTAAGAGATGTTAGTTTTTTTACATGAAACTGCTACATATTGTAGAGGAACATTATTACAAAATATCTATCAATTTTCATACACATGTAGTCTAAATGTGTAAAAGTTACGGTTGTCATTGTTACGGTGGTGAGAAGTATGCGGAGCAGTTCCAAAACATAGTTCAAATGTATATTACTAAAAATGTAACCACGTGATGCATAATTATGTTCATTATTGTATTTTCTTTCAATGATTTGCTCTGTATTATTGTTGCAATAATGTTCTTTTGTATAATGATGTAATGATACAAATCATGAACTCTGTAGTTGTAATGTCACCAACCAGTAAAACCCAAGGAATGTTTACAAATGCTTAAAAAGACCGCTAGATTAATAACACTGGTAGATAATGCTGGGGAATACATAATACTGAATAATAGAAGTAATATGAAATGATCCATAGAAAAGGAATTGTAAAGCACAATTGTGACGTTGCTCTATATACCCCCGACTCACGTTACTATTTTTTTTATAGATTAACAATTTATTTCATCATCTAAATATATTCATACATAGTTTGCCAATCGCCTTTACTGGCAGTCGCAGGATAAACTTTTATGATGTCATTCTACAATCTGTAGTAGTTTCATCTCAATAAGAAGCATTTAAATCGTACTTCCCGGACACCTTGTATACATCTACGCTTATGTCATAAGAACTTCACAATAATGTAAATATAGTATTTAATCAATTTATTAAATAAAACTAAAACGGTCTAAATGAGTACAAACATAATAATCAACAACTCCATGTAAGGTAACATAGCAAGACACCTAGCAAGATGGATGCATTCTCAACCAATCCGTCTTCACAACAAAACTTATTCCAAATGCAGCCATCTTACATCTTTGGCACGGGGAAAAATTACCCAACTAATGGACTCATTGATGCTTAATAATGAAATATAGATACAAGTAAGCAGTCTGACTGATTGAGACTTGTTTCTTGCTGTGATCTTGATTATAATATAATTATAGAAATTGAAACGATACAGTTGTACTAGTTGTATGTAGTTGTATATCTAATTAAAAATAGTTAGGATACGCGTATAATGTCCCATTTAGGAAATACCAGAAAATGTCTTTCTGATTGGTAGTATACTTAAGGATTTAAGCCGTGGACTGACTATCGTTTCTAAAAGTTGTTGTTGCGAACTTTTCACAAGATGCGCATACCATCTTGGGTTTTATAATATGTGTAAAAATTCGAATGAGTTTGTTTACATTTTTTGACACCTTGTAATAAGATACATATTTTGACCCAAAAGACAGAAGTTTTTCAGCCAACGGTATTTTAAAAAATCAAGAAATAGGGACCTCCTTAGATATTGGTTCAAATGTTGCTGCGCTACATTGTGCTATGGATTCCTCATATTCCAAAGTCATACCATGGACTAATCAGGCAACAACTATAGTGAAATAACAAATCAAAACATCGGTATCTGAGTTTGCACCTCGAGAGGCGAGTTTTTTATATCCCAACATAAGCTCTATTCGGTGGAAAAATAGCAAGCATTCACGTTGTCCAATTGCAAAGGGTTTACTAATATTGATTGTTTTGTAAACCTAGAGATTCCAAATACAAGTATTCAGCTCCACCTCTATATCAAATAGCTTATTGAGTCCCTTATACCATTTCCTCACAATATCTGCAGACTTGGTAGAAAATGTAAACGTTCTTCCTGTCGTTTCTAGGACCAGCAGATAGAGGTCTGAAATGCATACATGTGTTATACGATGTAGGTTAGATACGAACACATATTATATGTGAATAAGAATCTATATTTTATACAATCGACACGTACTAGTATTTAAGGTAGTCAATTTCAAAGATAGATAATTTACATAATATACACTGGCGGATCTGGGGTGGGCCCAGAAAAAAAAATTGGGCCCCAAAAAAATTTGATAGGATCCCAAAAGTGGGCCTTTTTGGTCATTACTGGGCCTTTTAAGGCCTTATTTCAGACCTAATTTTGAAGAAAATGGGCCTCAAAATTTGGGCCCACTTTTGGGTTTAAGGGGCCCAAATTTTTTTCTCTGACCTGAAATTTGCCCCCCCCCCCCTTGTTGGTTCTCAGATCCACCCCTGATATATACATATGTATATATGATTGAATTATGATTGAATTACCCATACCTTTATCCTTTCTACAGTTCACTGATATTAGTTCAGATATGAGAACTAACGGATGCCGCGTACTATTCCAAGATATTGCATATGTATTGGACTCCATTGAAGCATTCGTTATAACTTTCACCAGTACTTGCTTTTTACGTGTTAGACCATGTCGAGAGTGCTTGTGAAAGATGTCACCTAACAAAACAAACACAAGAAACGTTTACTGCAAACTGACCGCAATACAAAGCCATTTACGACCAACAATTCCGTAAAACATGATCAGTAATACAGTCACTTGGTACTAGAATTGTGTGACATTGCAACAACATTTGCAAGGGCCTTTGAAATGATATTATGACGTCTGAAAAAATAAATAAAATTGAACTACATAAATAAACCATGATCTATGTCTTTTTCACTGCTACCCACCTAGTTACACAGACGTATCGTCAGTGTATCATGGCGGAACTACTTCCGGGATTTGAATTCGGTAAGATATTTTTATTTCTCGATTTACATCTACTTATAAATCACGATTATAATTTGGCTCGAAGTTATGGGAGATAGTCTAGTTTGAGAATGTGTCGATGGTTTTAGGTTTGGTATGTTAACGAAGACGCATTTCACATATTAAATCCCTCGCTTTTGTTACAGGGACGATCGACATTAATATTGCCAATATTACACTGATATTGGTCGTTCGTCAGTGTAACAAAAGCGAGGGACTAAATACGTGAATTGTGTCCTCGTTAATATATAAAACCTTAAACCATCGACACATTCTCAAACTAGACTATCTTCCTTAACTTCGAGCCAAATTATGATCCACAACGTGACTTATAAGTAGGTGTAAATCGGGAAATAAAAAAATCTTACTGAAACCCAGTCCCGGAAGTAGTTCCGCCATGATACACTGACGATACGTCTGTGTAACTAGGTGGGTAGCAGTATTTTTGGACATTTAATATATACCAAGTGAATAAACTGATGCATTTAACTTGAACAATGTGTTTGCTTTACCTTTCTCCAATGTCGCCAAATCAACGTCGCACATCTCCAGATTTTCACACATGAAGTTATTGTGATACACAAGAGCTGGTCTGCCATCGCGATTCCTGAAAGGAATGTCTTTGGGTCCATAACTGCTTACTCCACTATCAGGGGTAGAATGTGGGGTTATGGCAAAATCCTGTACTGTGGGTTCATCAGCAGAGCCGCTGCTAGATCCTACCACAGAAGCATTAGACACTGCCTCATCACATGACTGTTTTTTATCATTGTCGTCAGGGGTCAAGTCATACATTTGAACTTCATCACCTGTCTCGTCACCTTCAGAGTCACCACCTAATTTCTTTACTAGATATGAAATTGTGGTAGTGTCACTCAGTAGGTCCACAATAGGAATATCTACGCCAAAAGTATTCGATATATCTGACTGAAGAGTAACTACAACTATTGAATCTATACCGAATTCTACAATTGACGTCGAGTCGTTCATCTGATCTTCATCAGTCATCACTAATTTTGCCAATAGATTCTTCAACTTTCCACGAACACCTCTTGTTTTCGTGAGATCACCAGATAATGAGACTCTTTCATCCTCTGCTTGAGCGCCTTTTGAGAGAATCTCATATGTTTCCGGGGAATGGATTTTCATCAGATCGGCAAATCTTCTCCCAATAATTCCTAACATGATATTTCTTGATTTGAATATTGTCTTCCAGTTGGCATTCACAAAAGAAATTTGTTCGGGATTAGCCGTCAGTGCAAAGTCAAAGCATTCGCCAATGCATCTAGCATCTAACATGTTTATGCCATCTTTCTTGAGTACGCTCTGAGCCCTCAAATTGCTCTTCAGAATTCCTAAATCCAAAGCTCCCCAATTGATTGTCAAAGAAGGGTATCCATGATACCGTCTATAAAGTGATAGGGCATCTTGAAAACCATTACCAGCACAGTAGTTACTCTGACCAGGGTTTCCAAATATTGATGCCATTGAAGAATGCATCACGAAGAAATCTAAATCCATACCCAATGACAACAGGTGGAGATTCCACGAACCTTGTATTTTAGGTTTTGTCGGCCCTTGGAACTTTGTCTCGTCCATAGTCGCTAAGGGTCCATCGTCAAGAATGACTGCTCCATTAAATATTCCCTTAATTGGTACTCCAGGGTGAAGTTGATTGAAATCCCCAACCGCAATATGCAGTGTATCTAATTTGGTGACATCAGCAGTAAGAGTAATAATGTTGACACCAAATTCACGTTCGATATTGATCATTTCCTCAGTTTTCTTCCCACCGGACCTTGACAGAACAATCTGATAGCCAGCTCTCTTTTCTGCCATATGTTTTATCAATTCTGCTGTGAGGCCACTTGTGCCCCCCACGTGGATGTAAGCTGCATCTGGTCTAAATAAATACTCTTGTCCAACATAAACCGGGAAACATTGACTCACTGAATTGCCAATCACTGGGTTATTGTTATCGCAACTTCGTGGCAACTGTTCAAATGACTTTGTACATTCTTGAATTGAATAAACGTCTCCGTTCAGTTCTCCAAGTGTGTTGTTCTCTGAATTACTTCGCCATTTTCCTCTGAGACAATGCTTCCCCGATAATCCATCCTCGCGGAGACGTTGTTTTAAGTTACAGACATAAATGGCTTCATTGTCAGCATCACGATCATTGAGGGCATTGAAATCTGATGATTCTGTAAGTTGGTGGACTTGAAGTCTACTCAGAATCGGTTTTACAGATTTTATCCAATCAATGACTTTTCCAAGGTTTCGCTGTAAGTTGTATGGACTGAGCACCAGTAGTGTTTGTAAAATGGATATATCTGACTTATGGCTGAGAGACTGGCAAACAACGTTACTGTATTTGGTTGAATTTATTGTTTCTATAACAACGATTTGCCTCAGTGTTTCAGCCATTCGCATCTTTTGAATGTCTTCTTTGGAAAGTTTGTCGTCAACGAGAATAATTACATGACTTGACTTTTCGATATCCTTTACAATTTGTATACGAGATGCTTCAAGAAGACTCCGTAGAACGTGACCGAGGTCTTTGTGTTGTTCAAATCCACACATGTAAATGGCTGAAATTTTCATTTTAAGATGGTTAACGATAATTTCCCAACCAATGACACACAGTGACATGCAAGTCGATTTTGCAAAAATCGGAATGTTGCTCAAAGGGACAACACATTTCTTAGGAACAACCACATTCCTTTGAACTACATGAGGATAACACACAAGGACCTTTTCAATTCTTTTTTTGTTTTGAATTTGGGCACGGCCAACGAAATCAACTGTCCTTATGGGGTAACCATATTTGTGAGATGTCACCCCCCAGGGTTCGACATCAAGGGCATTGCTTTCTGAATTGTCTAGCTGAACCAAATCATTTCTACATACCCTAAACGTGTCAATATGTACAAGGCATTCTGATTTTCTAGGTTCAGTTGGAGCATCTCTATTCATTATAATAAAAGATGGATCAGTTATTGCCGCCGGTGCAGCTGATACAAGTACTCCATTGGTATTATTGCTTTCTGAGATGGCTAATCGATGGTCAGTTGAGCGACTAACGTACGGTTTGATCTGGTTTGTATAGACCTCATCAGCTTTAAATACCAATTCAGGATGGTCAGGGGTTCGGTATATATGATGCACCAAGTTTTCAACTTCTGAGTTACAACCAGTTGAAAAGTCTATCAGAAAAAGGTGATCAAAGACTCTCTCCCTTGCAAATGCTCGAGTCATAGCCCAAATAGAGCTGCCACAGAGATCAATAGGTGATCCGATATCGTGAAAAACCTGCGAACCTTTTGTTACGATATATAGAGGCGTCTTAGAAGACACTCTATGAATACATTGGACGAGTTGTCTCAGTGCTGAACATGCAAACAAAATAGGTGTTTCAACTTGAACCATCCTAGATTGAATATCAATGTCTTCTATCTCAGGAATTCCCCAGGCAAATATAACTAATTCATAATCGCCCAAGGTGTCAGTGTGACATCTCAGTATGTTTTCTAAGGAAAGATTTCTTCCTATGAAGTCTTCGTAAGAGTCCACTGTAGGGGGAGAGATGAATGTCGATTCTGTATTGACAAACGGCCGTAGCTTCTTCAATATTCCATTTGTATCTTCCAGAATAAGACATTTCTTTGAGTTGGACATATTTCCAAGGTGACTAACAGTCTGCAATTTCTCCCAATGTATACTGTATGAAACATCAGGTTGGTGCAAGATCTTCTCTCCCGTAAGCAAACGCAATATTATGTTCTTGCATTCAACTATGACTTCACCAGTGTTTGTCAGCAATGCTGCATGACAGATGATACAATCTCTTTGGGTCGATTCTGATCTTATGTAGATCAAAGCATCAGAAGGTATGCTTTTTCGAACTGTCAATTTTCCGAGTTCAAACGGAAATGCAATGGCCCCATCTACTGGAACAAGGGCAAGAGCTTGGAGGATGTTGTCCAGGACTGACGGGTGAATGAGCATCCTGTCTTTCTCTTCGACGATCGATTTTGGAGTTGAAAACCTCAAGAGCCACTCTTTGCCATTAGTTTTGTAGCTTTTTATTCCCTGCAGACTAGGGCCATAAGTAAACTTAAATTTCTCTAATTGTTTATACATGACAGTTCCATCTTTCTCAGTTGGACATCTGGCTTCAATCTGCTTAACGTCAATGCTTGTTTCACCTGTATAACTTTCGAAAATTGTCGTTGAGCCAGTTGCATGGGTCGTTTTTTCAGAACTGATTGTAAATTCTGTGATATTGCTTTTCTCGTTGGAAATGCGTATGTCTAGTTTCCTCGTAGAGTTGTCGCTTTCCAGCGTACATGGACTGATGAACTGAATGAAAGTTGACGCACATTCAGAAAGAGCCAGTCGCTTGTTACACATCATGGAGCAGCTCATGCCTAGTTCTGCGTATGTTGCACCAGGAATTAATATCCTATTTGATGATTTATGGTCGAATACAAATGGCATTGTGTTTCTCTTTACATCACATACAAAATGTCCTTCATCAAGGCAGCTTTTTATGAAGGGATGTGTTTGTAATATACCAACATTTCCAACATCTCCGGTTTTGTACAGAATTTCTGCCTCATCTGGGTAATATTTCAAATGATTACGTTTGAATTGATACCTTGGGAATGGAATTGGTGTATACTTTACGAGGAAAACCTTATTCCAATCTACGTCCAAACCCTGTTCATACAATTGCCCTAGGGAAGCTATCAGGCAGGACCATTCTTCGTTCTGTTTGAATGATGGCAAAATTGTATGAGGATATTTTCCGACGATGTCTTTTATATTTTTCCTCAATGCTGGTCGTGGTCCGACCTCTAGAATTATGTTATGGCACGAGCTATCAATCGCTGTTTCCATGGCATCCCTGAACAAGACTGTCTGCCTTACATTTCGCAACCAGTACTCAACCGTATTATAATCACTTCCCGTTGCAGGTACACCAGTGACCGATGATATGAAATGCGGCTTATGTAGTTCAATCAATGGAGGATGCAGACTGAGGTGGTTCAATTCAGTCTTCAGTTTTCCCAAGATAGGATCCATGAATCTACTATGGTAGGCAACCGATACGTCTAGCTCTCGTAGGAATATATTGATGCCTTCTGCCTGTTTTACATCATTGAGATGATCGAGCATTGCTGTAATGTTCTTTTTAGATCCGGACAGTGTACACGATGTTTGACTATTTATTGCAGCAATCTCTACATCGAAAGTATCGGCCTCTTGTTTGATACGCGTGATGTCAAAGTTGCTCACAACAAGCATGCTCCCTCCACTCGCTTCCTGGATGCATTTCCCACGTGCTACCACTACATCGGTTGCATTTTTCAGAGATAGTTTTCCAGCAACACAGCATGCTGCTACTTCTCCCACAGAGTGACCTATAATACAGGTTGGTTTAATGCCCCACTCAATCCACTGTCGTGCAAGAGCCACTTCTATCGCAAATATTGCAGGTTGGCCTACAGAAGGGTCGGATAAATCACTTTGAGTTTTTAACTTGTCGATCAATGACCATCCTTCGCTCTTTGAGATATGTTCATCGACGCTAATTAGAGTCTGTGAGAAAGCACTCTTAACATGGTTTGTAAGCATCTCAACACCCATACTAAGCCAATGAGTCCCCATCCCACAAAATACAAATATTGTTTGAAGCTTTTCCTTTTGTTTCTGCTTTGTATCAATAGTATCTAGATGTACTTCTAGTCCTTTCTTTATCTCTGCAATGTCGGCACCGACTATAGCGATCCTCCTATCATAGTGCGTTCGTCTGACAGTCGAAGTGTATGCAAGCTGCTTAAGTTCTATTTCAACTGTCTCTAAACTTGTCAACAAGTCTTTTGTTGATTCTTTCAGAGATAACGCGTTGTTAGCTGAAATGACAACTATCACCTTTGTGCGCATTTCACAAGTTGGTGTCTCATCTTGCGAGTGCTGTTGGACTATTCCAAAAGAGTTTGTTCCTCCAAATCCATAGCAATTGAGCGAGGCTAGTCGTGGTTTTTCAGGATGTTTGGACCAAGCCTCAGTCTCTTTCGGCAATCTTATGTTTAACTTTTCAAAGTCAATCTTTGGGTTTTGTCTATTGAAAATAATGGAAGGTGCAATCTGGTCGTGTGCCATCATGAGTAAAATCTTTATAAGACCTGCTACCCCGGCTGCTGATTCTGTATGCCCAATATTCGTTTTTACTGACCCAACGGGACAGGGACCGAATTCTTTAGGACGTTTTGTTGCTATCGCCAATCCTATGCTCTTTGCTTCTATCGGATCTCCAGCTTTGGTCCCGGTTCCTATAATAAATATTTTTTCTTTACCACATTCGTTCAGAAGACTGCTGAATGATGGGAATATGATTTAATTGCCTATATGTTGTGATGCATATATTTTAACCGACCTAAAGTCCTAATAAACAGAAATTGGAAAGGTCCATGTGCAGTATGGCAAGTGATTTTAAAAGGTCATATCTTTCACTATGAGTACTTTCTATCCATAAATACAGTGGTTTTTATTAAAACAATATTCTTTCAAGTGAAGTCCCCGTGATAGTTAAATATCTGTCCAACTCTCTGAAAAATTATGGTTAAGGACCCCACCTTGGCATTTTAAAAAATGTTGGCTTATCTTCTAAAAAGAGGATCTTGTTTTTCTCAAATTAACAATATCTTCTACACTATATTAACAACTTCTGAAAAGGGGATTGGCATTGAAGTGTGTAAAAGTAAAAAACCACATATCCCATATTATTTTCCCATAGGCAAAACTCGTGGTATCCATTGTTTTCAGCATAATTTTGGTCATCGAAAATTGATATCTTCAAAACTAGACTTTCAATACCACTCTACTTGAGATGAAATAAAAATCAGAAAAAGGAGATCCTCTTTTGAGTAAATGGGTTCAACATTTTGATAAAAACTGTTGACATGGGGTCCCTATTCATAATTTTTCGAATTGTTTGATTGATATTTTTATCATCATGGGTACTTTTCTTGAATTAAAACATATTATTTTTTATAAAAAAACACTGTATTTATGCCTAGAAAGTACTCATGGTGAAAGATATGATCGCCTCAAATCACTTGCCATACTGCACATGGACCTTTCAGAGCCCGGATGAAATCTTTTTAGTTTTGAGATAAGATTATATTAATAAATATATATAATATTATAAATAATATGATCCGATGATACATTACATTATAAATATATATTATATCTGGTATTATACATGATATGATATTTGGTATGATATATATAGAGGATATCCTATGATTTATGGGTGATATGATTTTTATCCACGAATGGATCTGCACGACCGAGTGTAGCGAGAGAGTGCAGATATCAATTTATCCATGAGTGGATTAAAATTATATCACCCATAAATCATAGGATGTTCTTTTTATTCCATAGTAAAACACGGGGGTAAAGCAGACCCGATGATGCAATGAGCTTTGCTCGGCGGTATCAAGACTGTGTAACGGGGCTCAATGTATAAGTGAGCTCGGCGGTAGGTTCAAACAACGCGAATCCTCAAAGCATGTGCTCATGGTATTATCGTGGCTTAACACCCGTGGTAAAAGTCATCATCATAATCGTCAGTTATTAAGTGATTGAATTCAAATTTTCCAAACGATCCGGCGATGTTGACACTTAGCCTCGTTTTGAGTCTGAAGTAGCTAAAATCCATAATTCATGGCATACAGCGCCGTATGTCATGGCTTAAACACCGTATGCAATGGTTAAGTGAAAATTTGTCAAAAAATATCATATTTTACCACTGATTTCAAAAATACCGTTTTTATTCCTATGAATATTATGCTAACTATGGGATAAATAGAGGATATCCTATGATTTATGAGTGATATGATTTTTATCCACGAATGGATATGATATCTGCATGAGCGAGCGTAGCGAGAGAGTGCAGATATCAATATCCATGAGTGGATTAAAATCATATCACGAGTAAATCATAGGATGTTCTTTTTATTCCATAGTTAAAGTCATCATCAGAATTGTCGGAAATTAAGTCATTTAATTCGAATTTTCCAAACGATCCGGGGATGTTGACACTTAGCCTCGTTTTGAGTCTGAAGTAGCAAAAATCCATTAACCATCGCATACGACGTCGTATGTCATGGCTAAAAAACCGTATGCTATGGTTAAGTGAAAATTTGTCAAAAATATCATATTTTACCACTGATTACAAAAATACCGTTTTCATTTTCACATGTTATCCAATGAATATCATGCTAACTATGGAATAATATGATATACGTTATGAAATATGGTATGAATATAATGCTTTGATATTGTTTGATATATGATACGATAACGATATGATAAAGATATGATATATGATGTAATATGAAATACCACATAATATGGTATGATATGTTATATGACATGAAATACGATGTAATATGCCCAGGGGTGGTTCAATCCAAATAATTTGAGTAGGTATGTGCAGCACGTTCAATTTTGGCTTTGGACATAAAACATAGAAATTGGACAATCTGAGAGAAAAAAACATGGAAAACTGTCTTAGAAAGTACCCTTTCTGAGTCAAAATTCAGTTTTTCTACAGAAAATTGTATTAAATTCATTAAATCAGTTGCTGAGGCCTGGAACAAATCACTAGAAAAGTTGATTTTTAGTAATTTATTAGTCTCAGGGGAATTAAACATGGAAACCTTCAATCTTGAGAGGAAATTGACATGGAAAAAATGCTCAAAAGGTCTTTGGGGCGGCACATAGGTATTAAGAAGTACATTGGAGAAAAACCGTCGGAGTAATATGACACATATTGAAATAAAAATCAGCATTGCATAGCAAACCTCAAATATAATTGCTCCGTACAGTTTGTTTTGTTGTTGTCGTCACCTCGGGGAAATACAGATTATTAGATGGAATAGTATTGGAAGTTGTCTTTCATATTTTGTAAGAAAAGTGAAAGAATCTACTTTTAATTTTGTTTAAAGTCTTTAATCGATTTCGAATTTGGACAATCGTATCCCAAAAACTAAATTTTCAGAACTCCCATGATAGTGTCTCGAAAAATACTGGGAAAATACCAACTTTTAGTGAAAATAGTCCTGTGACAACCATCGAGTTCAGTCCCGATATTTAAACTTTTCTATGAGTTGTCATTCAAATCTCGGAATCTGGGAAGATATTTTCGCCATTTTCAGACAGCCCCCGTCGAGAATTTGAAGATCTGTCCAATAACGCAGATGCGAGTAGGTAGTAACCAGATTCACCACCAGATGGCTCGTTCGGCTCGGATAGCATGGCGGGTATAGTAGAAAGTTCCCTTTAACTTAAATTACATCTATTTGCGTGGTTCAATTCTCATATAACCCTTGTGTATATAATAGTTATGCAAATTAGAATATGTCCTGTAAAAGAAAATGATATCTGCCCAATGCGAGAAAATATAATTCACATTTTGTGATTTTGTAGCATGGGGTCTATTAAATTTTTGATTGTTGATAGACAATTTTCGAAACCATATTTCTAGATGTACTTTTACATGCAGATTTCAGATATGACATCCCTTTGACAGAATTTTGAATATCTAATGACGAAAATCAAGATTATTTCTACTCGCATCTAGTCAATTGTATATCCCACTCGGATTCTATACGGTTTTAGGTGTAGCAGTTGTAGCAGAGATTTACCTGACACTCTGTGTATTCAATGGTATAATGTGATCATACATTATTACCACCTTGCAGGGCCTGTTCTAGGGGTTTTAGTACTAGTTGAGAAGGCATTTAAATTGCTATATTGACGTGAGCAATATTGTGTCGGGCATTAATGACTTTAGACGGGCAATAATGACATTATCCGCCCGGCTATGTTTCCCAAAAAAGTGATACCGTTCAGTGCGTAAGATTTTCTACTTCAAATTTGCTATTTCAGCCCTGGTCATTATGTGGTAATAATAGTAATAACGTCATTTCTGCGGGCAAAATAGTGAAATATTGGACCTTGGGCCTTCGGCCCTCGGTCCAATGTTTCACTATATTGCCCTTAGAAATGACGTTATTGTACTATTATTGCCTTCTAATAGAAGTCTCTAAAAAATCATATGCATATTTTTGCATCTCAAAGACTACGAATGCACTCACCATGAGCTTCCACAAAGTCTATGTGTTTAGGATCAACATCCATTTTTGCGAGGACATTTTCAATAAGTTTCTGTTGTCTTTCCATGGAAGGGGCTGTCATCGGGGTCTCAAAGCGACCATCTGAGTTTATTCCAGTTCCGATATATCCCCATATTCTGTCATTGTCCCTCAGAGCCTTTAGAAAAAAACATAATGATCAATAAATATATGACCACTACCATACTTTTAACACAAGAGGGATGTACAATCACTTGACCAAAATATTTCTTTCACTTGTTGTCACGTAATAAAAAACGTTCTTAAAATGAGTATGGAAATATGCAATTACAACGTACCTGTTCCACAGATTTCAAAATCACAATGCCACACCCTTCGCCTCTAATGTAACCATCAGCATCTTCTGAGAAAGCATGGCATTGTCCTTTCTCAGATGCCATTCGTGCCTTTGAAAGGTTGACAAACATGTAAGGGGTCAGTATTACATTCGTACCTCCACAGACTGCCATATCACACTCTCCTTCGTGTAAAAGTAAAAAATATGTTACGAAACATAAACGATATGTCACAAGCAAAGTAACACCATACTCTATTAATGCGAAAAAAGGATTCTTATCAGAGTTACAAATAATGCACTTGGTGAGTTTGTTGTCCTAATTGTGGTACTCAGACTAGAATTGGCACATTTGGGTATGACAGGCTATTATCACCGTTTCATTAAAGATTATGCAACCAATTGTAAGGCATACCCTTGAACAGAATTTACCAGAATAAGCACCACTGAAGATACTGGTAATTTGGGAAGAAAGGTCAGAAGAAGCTCTCTACCTTTTTAACTAACGCTTACTTCGAGGTCTAGTTTTCGAACTAAAGTTTTTAGTCATCAATGATGATAGTGCGGTATACTGAGGCAGAACCTCTAGAATGGAAAGAATCTCGTCATGTAATTGAATAGAAATATGATGCCAAGAGATAGAAATAACTCTGTATTGAGAAGGAATGTCTGGCTATGAAATGATATATAGAGAAATTGAGTTAACTACTTGCTAGGGAGAGTCTTCAAAATCATCACAGACCACAATTTTAGATATTGTAGATGAACAGTTTATTTGAATATTTCCGAGGGAAAGGCCGTCCTAAAAGAGATGAGATGGAGAGCAAAAACAGTCAAGAAAATGGGGAAATGTGTGATATGATTAACATTAAATATACTGTAAGATATTTATACTTTAAAATTGAGATGGCAACGTCAATATTTGACAATGGTATTTTTAAAGACATTATGGTATTGTAACGCTAGAAAATTTGGATTTTTATGGTATGACTCTATTAAAAGCAATTTAATACTTTTTTAACTCTGACTTAATACGCCCGCTATGGCTCAGAGGCTCAGAGTCAATGTTACCACTATCGCTTGGCCCCGGGTTCGATTCCCGGTTCAGACAAGTTTGTTTGTTTGTGCATTGTGTAATGTGTTTGACAAAGTTGTTCACGACTCGTATAAAAAGGCTGTGGTGTGTATACCTGTATGTCTCCTTAATGAAGTTATCTAACATGCACCGTTCTGTCTGTGTAACTTATTTCCCAGAGGTGAAGAATATTATATCGGATGTCCCAAAAGTTGATCGCTTTTGAACAATACTTTTTTAAGTAGAGACAATATATAAATAGAATTGTTTGCGTATTTTTTTTTGTTTTTAATGGACTAGTAAGACCGAAATTCGAGTACTCAAATGCAGTTTTGACTTTGAAAAATACATTGAAAATGTACAAAGAAGAGCAGCACGGATGTTAATTTGACTACTCCTTGTTAACTGTTAAAAATAATAAGAACATAACTTCGACATATGAGTGTTACCTGATGAATGGGACCCTCACGTGCCTTCTAAATGGTAGTAAACGAACGCTAGTGTAACTACATCAGCTTATCTTTCCGTCCGATCGACAATAAGTACAGTTATACAAGAAATGTAAACGAAGTGAAAATATTTCCAAGACTTTTCCGAAAGACATGTCATTTCCGGAAGTTATGATACGTTATATTACCGAACATGCGTGAAAATGGAACTTTTGTTCGTTCATTTTACGAGAGCTAAATAAAATGCGAACATCCAAGCATCGGGTATGACTCCACCATTGTTTGCCGTTATACTACTTGCCACAATCAACCTCACTGCCAGCATATCAAACAAGGCCCATTTTCCATCAAACTTGGCCCAACAACTATATCGGGTCATACCTTTTGGCGGATGGATATGGAACCTCACACCAGAACTTGAATTTTGTGATGTTTTTCAATATTTTTCAATGACTTACCGTAGTGACACCATAACGTATCATAACTTCCGGAATGACATGCCTTTCGGAAAAGTTTTGGAAATATTTTCACTTCGTTTATATTTCTTGTATAACTGTACTTATTGTTGATCGGACGGAAAGATAAGCTGATGTAGTTACACTAGCGTTCGTTTACTACCATTTAGAAGGCACGTGAGAGTCCCATTCATCAGGTAACACTCATATGTCGAAGTTATGTTCTTATTATTTTTAACAGTTAACCAGGAGTACAAGATTAATCCTACCCTGATTGCCTTAAAGAGTAATGCATATCGTTTAAGCAAATTGAACGCTCGTTTTGGTGTTCCTCACCGTTTAGTAAAAAGGGAACGAACCCGGAACAATACTCAAGGGTGTGCAGGTTGAGGTCAATGAGTAACGATTTCTGCCTGCTTATGAAGCTGCAATAGTGCAGTAAACAATTCAAAAAATGAATTTTTTAAAAAATTATTTAAAAAAAATTAATAGATGGCATGCCAGATATTGCAAAAAAACTGATATGTTGACTCAAAGAGGCCAATGATAGGGAACACAGTTATGAGGCATACGCCTTGGTCACATTTGCTCCAATTTTCTCTGCGTATTTTGTTCAAAATTGAATACAGTATTGAACAAAACACTCATTCGGGCGGAGGCCGGCCGATGGATTGGAGCAAATGTGACCAAGGCATATTGTTATGATTCGGTCAGTACGTAATTATATTTAATTATATATAATTACTTTATTATTTATTTATTATTTATTATCCAATATAAAATACCATTTATATTCAGCATATTCAAACATTGTAAAGATCTTGCTGCTTTCTTATGATTAATGACTATTTAGACCTCAGTTTGCTTTAGTGCAGGGGAATCCCTACGCTACTATATTCAGCCAAAACGAAGATATATCAATGAATTCTGACAAGTTAAAACTTCCAACAACCAATCACGACTCAGAATTATGATTTGAATCTTGCTTACATAAGCATGAAATCAGCAATATTCTTACTTATATTTGCACAATTTTGACAGGTAAAATAATGTATTTTACCTGGTATATAAAGAAGCCGGCAAGATCTGCTTATTCAGTAAGTTTTACTCACTCACAACGATGCTCAACAATCGATGAAAGGAGAAACAATAACAAGCGAATCTACCGAAACTCTGCTGGCCGGATCAATCTCAAGAAGAATTGGAATTTGAAATAAAATTAAGAAACAAAACAAAGGAGTCGTGTTCAATTAGGTAGTCAGGAACCCTGCGAGTACCGAAGGACCACAAGATCCCGAAGCGACAGTTACGATACGTAACAATATGCTAGAAACTACAAAGGACTATACACAAGACGTACATGTATGTATCGACAACACATTTTTGACAAGGAAGATACAAAATGTAAAGCGTCAACAGTCACCACAAGGGCTCTGTAATCTTATCAGATCCCTATTCCTAAGACTATTGGTATATTAAGGTCAGGGTGCATGTTCGGAATTTTTCTGTTTGAAAAATAACATGTGACTCAATTGAGGAATGCAGAAAAATTCCGAACATGCACCCTGGCCTTAAAACCTGGGGAGAAATAGCGTAATTCTGTAGCCCCTGTGAATGCTCAACTATAGAGTACCAGAGTAAATTATTATAACTAACTAATTACATTAGAAATAAATCGTATACCTGCCAATATTGCCTGTCTAGCCAGGTGTATGGCTACCAACGAGGATGAGCATGCTGTGTCTACAGCCAGCGATGGACCTAGCAGGTTGAATGTATAGGACACTCTGTTTGCAAGGATTGCTTTAGCCGTACCGGTAGCCATGTAGTTGTCAGAGTCGAAGGTTTCCCCTGTCACACCTCTATAGTCATCGTTCATCGAACCTTCAAATTGACAGATATGTGAGAAGTCAAGAAATGAAGAAGAACGAGAAAAACGGTGAAATTGAACACAGTTCAATTCAAGACTCCAGATTTAATTGACCTAGATAGTTGCGGAAAGAGCAGAGTGAGTACCTGAGAATAATGCTGAATAGTGGTAAGAGTAATCAAAAAACGATTTGCTATTGATTACCGCCAACTTATTTTTTGAGATTTAAAAAGACCATAGATCCTGAACCGGAAGTCGGATTTCAATTCTGATTTCAGATTCGGAATTCTAAGAAAACTTCCTACGAGTACTATGTTAACACCTCTAACATTGAATCATTTTGGTTTTGACAACTTTCCGGACACCGTATCGCAAAAGTAAATCAAAATACTCTTTGACGGCAAAAGGCTCACACTATTAGCACACTCTTGGTTATCAGTATACCAAATTTCGGAGTATATTATGAAAATAGAGTTTGAGAATAGCTAAGAAAAACTTGTTTTGACCTACATTTTGACCTTGGCTTTTCAGTGCCCAAATTTTGAATTTAAGTCGCTTTTGAGGTTCTCTTTCGTGGTAGGCTTTCATTAATGTCTTTGTATTCAGCCTGTATCTTGTGTTATTACAATTCATAATATTCATCGGTCCCATTGGATTTACATGGGATACCAAAATAACGATCTTTAATTGAAGTTTCGAAACGCCATTGCAGATTCGAATTCCTCAGAAAAAGTTTACACTTATTTCATAACTCACTTTGACCTACTTTCCGGACACATATCCCAAAATGTGTCAAAATACTTTTTGAGGTGTCACTACGGTAATTCATTGAAAAATATTTTAAAAATCAAAATTTCGAGTTGTGTAGAAGGTCAACAGGAAGATATCTGATTCAGAATCCGGAGTAAATTTCCCATTATTTAGTTATATCAACTTTGATAGATTTGGAACACTAGAATTCACAGTGTTTGGGGAGTCAAATGATTGGTATCGATATGGCGAATTTGATTAAACACATGTTTTTTCTTAAATTTGTCATCAAAAGAATCTGAAAATCTTACACATCGTCAATTTAATGATCATCTATTGAATGGTAACAATTTAACATGGATAAAATGCATAAGTAAGAAGAAGGAGAAGAAGGAGGAGGAGAGGAGGAGGAGGAGGAGGAGGAGAAGAAGAAGAAGAAGAAGAAGAAGAAGAAGAAGAAGAAGAAGAAGAAGAAGAAGAAGAAGAAGAAGAAAAAGAAAAAGAAGAAGAAGAAGAAGAAGAAGAAGAACAACAAGAAAAAGAAGAAGAAGAAGAAGAAGAAGAAGAAGAAGAAAAGAAAAAGAAAAGAAAAAAATAAAAGAAGAAAAGACAAAAAAAAGAAAAAGGAGAAGTTTTGTTTCTGTGTCCGTGAGCTTTCGACATTACAACTTTATAATTAAATAGAAATATAATTTTTTCTTGCTGGGAGAAATGTCATACCTGATGAGATAAAAGTTTATCTACCGCCGTTCACTAAATGAAATAAAGCGTGTATGAGGTTATACCTTCACACTTGCTCTAAGGGATAAAATATAAACACAGAATGTATTCAACAATCCCAAGAGCTCTCTGACATCAGAATATGCTATAACAAACTCTTAAGAAGGTCGTTTTAGCGTTTAAGTAAACAATGCCATATTTTCTATTACGAATAAGTAGCTGGTTTATTTCGTCGAATTTGTTACAAACATAGAATGCACCTTTGGTAAACAAGATTGTCTACATTTTGCAGTAAATTTTGTTGAGAACCATACATAATCATTTGATGAGGTCACACTCGTCATCATTTTATAACACTACTTGTTACGCCTACGAATTTATTTCTGATGACTCACCCACCTCAGATTTTTCTTTTGTTTCGTTAGTGGTTACGCCCACGGATTCATTTCTGAATTCCCCTTACCTATATACACGCCGGTGTTGGAGCCACTTATCTCATTTAAAGGGAAACCTCCGTCTTCAAAGGCTTTGAAGACACATTCCAGGGTGATTCTATGCTGGGGGTCAGACCTGGATGCTTCCATCTCATTAATGTTGAAGAGACGATTGTCGAAGTCGAACACACTGTTAAAAACACAATGTCGACAGTACGTCAACTGTTTTTTGTGATATCAAGACGGATTTTAATAATTTGTTTGAACTTTAGAACATGCACGCTTGGTATACAAAACGTTGGGTTCATGTTCATTGACAATTCACATTGGAAGGAAAATGAATCGGAAATGTAGAAACTAGTGAAGATGGTAATCAGACTCCGAATAACGATTGTACTTGTAACCGGTCTCTGCACAATATGTGCCATGTGCTGTCTGATCCATGACCTCTTATATGAACGTCCTCTCAGGAAATACAAATTTTCCTATAGATTGCTATGTACATGGGTCCCCATGGGACTTGTTTTGTATTGGAACTTTAAACGGTACTCTACAGTTCCAACCTATGCACATTTTTTATTCGATGCTTTCATATGTCTATTCAAGGAGGATTGGCTCCCAGAGTGCACCACCGATATTCTGTCCCATATATGGGTATGTCGTAATACAAAATTCGAATTCAAACAGCCGCCATTTTGTTCACTTCAAAATTTAAATCGGGAATTTTGGTCTTATTTCCAAACGAAAAATTCCAAAACTCACAAGAAATGATCGAGATATTGGTTCGAATCTTTTGAACTGTTTATTTTGAATTTATAGTCGGTTTTAATTTCAGAAAATAACGACATTTCGACGTTTTCATTGTTGGAAAATATCGAGTTTCGATCCTGGGAGCCAATCCTCCTTGATGTCTATTCAAACAGTTCGGTACTTCATATTTTCTATTCGAACAGTTTGACATTCTTTATTTTTAATACGAATGCGCAAGACAAGAAGCGATCTGATTGGCTAGATTGAAACTATGACTGGATCTGCACGGGCGTACTCAAACAACATCACAGCGCGCATGTGCAGACTCCAGAATACCGAACTGTTTGAACAGAAACAATGATCTTTTAAGTGCAATGTTGATTTATATCAGTTCGAGCCTTTGGAGCATTTTTGTCCGAACCTTGTGCAATATTGGTTTATACATTTGCATTGAACATAAAATAAAGTCTACGAATTTTAAGTTTCAATCTTTTTGAATAATTAAAGCATAAAACTTTTTTATTTAATTTAAAAGTAAACAAAAAGACAGATGAGAAGGAGAGGTTTCAAAATGCTCTCTTCGATGTTGCAATGTGGGTAGTTATTCAAGAACACATCCCTATAAAAATATAAGTTGTGGACGAATGTTCACTTTCATTATTGCCATCCATTTTATATTTTACATGTATATAGATAATCATGTTTCTATTTTTGAGACATTTCTTAAATCATGCATGAAAAATTCAAAATAAGATTTTTCCAAATTTCCAAATCCAGATTTCCAAATTTGAAAGTTTGAATTGAACAATGCAATATTAAACAAGAAATATGAATTATCAAACATTGAATTCAAAAGAGTGAACAAAAACTTAAAAGTTTGAACTAAAAAGTAAAAAAACAAGAAAAATTAAATATCTTATTTATTTATTTATTTATTGGCACGACCGCTGATTACCAGGGCATGGCCTAAACTTTTATAACAATTACAAATGAACACAGAAAATATAACAAATTACAAAGAAGTACATGCATTATGCTTTGAAGTGTTTACATTATTAATAGATCTTCTAATCTAATGTACATGTATATAGCTAATGATGTTCCAAATCTAGGTTAGGTTGGAGGAGTTGAATTTGTATTAGGTTCTTATAAAGTTTTTCCTAGATTTATAGATTGTATTAATATATGTTAACATTTCAGATGTATGTGATTTGTATGACATCAAGTATAACCATTTTTCTCTTGGAAGTAATTAACGTTTTTATTTGAGAAAGATATTTTATCAAATAGAGCTTTCTTTTGTATTTTATGGTAATTACAAATTATGAGAAAATGAAACTCATCCTCAATTTGATTGGTTTGATTTTCACATAGTTTACATAATCTATCCTCAGGTTTTGTACCATAATATCTCCCTGTTTCAATTTCCAGTTTGTGATTGTATAGCCTTAACTTAGTAAAGCAGTTTCTTTCCTCAATATTTGATGTTATAATAGTTTTCAAAAACATTAGACTTTTTGAATGTAATATAACTTTGCATTTTGTTATTATATCTCTTGACCAGAAGATATTTTGAATTTCCATATTTTATTGTAATGTTCGGTTAACTTAGTTTTAATCATTTTCATGAATTTTTGTTTAGTAGTTGAATTTGGTATTTTAGTCGTATTAATGTTGATATTAGTAGTTGCAAGGCATTTCTTAATGTATTTGAACCAATTCAGATTTTCTGATTTAAATAAACTATAAACTTTGGAAAGTAGTCTTCCCTTTGGTAAATTCTCTTGGTATATCCAATATTTAATCATGCTCATTTGAGCTGTGAAAAGACTTGGCTATCTTCCTGTTTCTCCAAGAGCACCAAGGTTAGAGCATTTGGAGTTAACATTGAGCACCCATTTACAACATTGAATATGTATGTTTCTGTTTTGTTTCCAATGTAATAATAGTCATTTGTGTTAAGTGAGGGACACCATACGTCACTACCATAAGTCATTTTAGGCTTTATGCACATGTAAAATAAATGAAAAATCAGTTTGATGTTTTTTATACTATTACAATATAATATTTTTTTAATGCAGACCATCGGCTTTCAACTAGAAGGGTAGGCAACTTCCCATATTTCATACATAAGCATTGCCTTTGGGTTTTCAAAATTGGAAAATGTACACATTCCAAGAAAATCTTATTTTGTCCTTTTTTATGGATGATTTAAAGAAATTACTCAAAAATAAAAATATAATTATCTACACACATGTTTATAATTTAATAAAAAAAAATGTAATTCATCGTATTTATGACAATACAGAAAGTGAACATGCTCCCACAAATTATATTTTTATTGGAATGTGTTCTTGAATAATTACCCACAATGCAATACTCGAAGAGATACCTCTTATTCTTATTGGTCTTTTTAGTTTACTTTTACATGAGATTGAATATATTGTATGCTTTAATCATCTTGAAAATCATCTTGAAATATAAACAATAAAAAGGAAGCATGGCATGGCATGGCATTGCTCATTTTGAAGGTCTCATGTTATTACAAAGAGTAGCATACCCTTCTAATTGAAAGCCCATGTGCAAACCAAGCCTTTTGTGCTTTCAGTTTGAGATCATTTGCAAAGGTTTTAATGCCGTTTTTTGTTATGGTTACTCCTAAGTATATGTCGCGTTGACATTCTCGTTTGGATCATTTTTGTATGTGAATGTGTCATATTTTTTTACTCATAGGTAATACTTTAGATTTTTAATGTTAATGTTTAGACGCCGTAAATTTTTTTTTAGTTTATTAAAGTTGTTTTGCATCACATTGAATGATGTAGAAAACATAATCAAGTCATCTGCATATAACAGGGAGTTCATCATAGTGTTGTTGTCAACTTTGAATCCATATGTGACTTCTGAAAGTAGCTCATCAACTATGGCATCGATAAAGCAATTAAATAATATGGGGCTTAGACAGTCCCCCTGTTTAACTCCAACATGGAATGCCATATGTAAGAATATGGTTCTGAAACAGGACGTTAACGCTTAACTAAGGCCTTTTTGAAAGTGTTCGTTAGTTCTAATTGCTGCTGGTTATCATCTTTTTAACTATTTGTCTCAAAGATTCATAAATTCCATCTTGGTGGGCTGTTTCAAAAGCAATGTAGCTCACTAAAAATATTTGGGAAACAAAGCAAAATGTTTGTGCATTTATGACATAATTTTCTGAACGAGACAATCAACCTCAAATTAACAGTAAAATTACATTCTCACCTGTCCAAAAAGGCAGCATGTTTTGTAGACGTTTTCCCTTTGGCATCCCTGTTTGGATCATAGAAAGCATTAATGTTGAAACGCTCAGATGGGATGATTTTGAGATGATTTTTGGATTCCACGAGAGTCTCCCAAAATTTATCAACACCTTCACCTCCCGGAAAATTGCAAGCTACGCCAACAATGGCTACAGCTTTTGTCAAATCCATATTCAAAATGCGCCTACCATCATCGACGTCGGTAAGACTATAAGTATCTCTTTTTAAGAGTTTCAGTTCCAAGAAACTTTTAACTGATACTGAGAAAAGTAGTGATATTTATCATAATATGTTATGTCGCCTACATCACGTCATGATAGCCAAGAAATGGGTAAACTGGTACCTCACGTAATTTTTTTGTATTACTTATATGGATATATCACATGGATACCACGTGACCCAATACCAAAAACTATACTATTTTAAACTATATGACCTTGATCAGACAACGTGGTCGAATTGCTTAAAATAAAACCAATTTTGCAAAGGGGAGGGACAATTTCTGTAGTCTCAAAACCAAACGCTAGCGATGACGTAATTCTTGGGGAATCCCGGTCAATCGCTATGCCTGCTGGGAGTTTAGGAATTTCCGAGGGATTCCCTTAGGATTTCGTTATTTTTCTCGTTAAAATCGTTTTTCTAACCAAGAATAATTGTTTATTCTATCAAATTATACATCCTCCAATTCCATTAATTTAAAGATATGTCGAAATCTGACGAATCGGAGATTTAATTAAGGAAATTCCACGTTTCCATGTCAGTTGCTAGGGAAGCCAATTTTTCCCGCGAATGTTTAAAATACAAAAAATGTTTGACATTACAATAGTATTCACATTATGTCTTCTCGAGGCTGCTACGGGGCAGGTTAACCCTCATGTATTAGATACGGTGAGAATAAAAGTTGTTATACCACGTATGTTGTGCAATTGAATTGGTGAACTCACAATAATCTAAGCTTAGGCCTAAGTTAGGCCTAGCCTAAATGTATGCCTAGCTGGATCCCCAGGCCTATGGCTATAGACTAGATCTATTAGCCCTAGATCAGTAGATGATGTTACCAAATCTGTTGCTTGCATTTGATTATATTAAGATTTTATAGCTATCATTAGGTCTATCATTTCCATTTAAAACTGGACAAGTGTGGTCAATTGGATAGACTAGGATAAGGCGAGACCCAGCCCATATCAATGATTTGGCAAGTTCACTTTTGGAAAAATTCCAGGGGGGTACACTTTTGACAATTTAGACCCAAAAATGTCCAAATCAATGGAAAGGTGCTCAGAATTGTGAAAAACTGCATGATTTTAGAATAATTTTGTGGGGGGGGTCGCTCTTTATCTCTATGGAAATATGGAATCTTTTATAAGCTTAGAGTAGATATATAAGCCTAGTCATCTAGTCTTGTCTAAAGAATGAAAATGATAGCTCCCTTGTTATATAGCTTTGAAGATTCAATTATTTTGATTTAATTTCTATTTGTTTGTTTATTTCTTGTTCTTTCAGTTGACTTCTCGTGTTTTCCCAATGACAGGATGTTCTAGTTGTGTAGGATTGACGACAGCTTGGGAATAGTATATGTATACTCCATATACTTCTACCTGTACCTACATTGTGTACCTACCTACCTACGTACCTGCCTAGAAGTATCAATGAGTTGCGGAACTCCTTATTGTGATAGTGCGGGAAATGTTTCCCGGGAATAGCGTATATGTAAAGGTCTTTTTGTACAGTGTTGGGCGGCCATGTTTAGTTTGCATCACATGTATTTTCAAATTCTGAATGAATTTTGAGACGATATCTGCATAAGCAGAGGTTGTACATGTATGTTATGATAAAGGAGTGTTTCTAGTCCTTAGTGACGTTGGAGAATAAAAACATTTAAAGCCGATACATATTCTTAGTTTTTGTGATTTCCCCACGTTCACAAATGGCGCTGCGAGCAGGGTAAATCGGCAAGAACCTTGGACGGAATATTGACAAAACACTCCTTGTGTGAAGCCATCACCGAGAAATGAACAATTCTGGTTTATATAATGCGATCCTGGTAATCTCCATATTTTAGTGCATGCAGTCATTGTAACAGGACTCAGTGCATCGATACTCAGTGATTCGACACTCTTGGAGACTTAACCTCGAATTATAACAACAATCCTCCAAAGACATTCTACTGTTTTTGATGTTATTGACTTTACAAAGTAGTTTGTGATTTATGAACCCCAGAATCTGAGCAATTACGTGGTAACAGGATTTCGTGGACAGAAGTGTTAAGAATTACACATGCTACATTCCTGACAGAGGGGAGGGAGATACGAATTGATTAACAAGATACATGTGTATATGTACTGTTAGATTTCACAAACGTATCGACTTCGAGTCGATTTGCCAGAATCTGTTAAAAACAATAATCAATGTAAATGCATAATCCATCTACATTGAAATTGCCTTGAGCTCATGAACTACAGGTACTACTACTTGTCAATCCAGCAACTGCAGTAAAGATATTCCTGAGTACTGACATTGTACCGGTCTAACCAGGATAGACTCACAATCTGACAGGGTGAGGTATTCCAGTATATGGTGTCAAAACAACATTTAGAATATTCAAAGCTGAATTATTGAGTCTACGGAATTACAGCAACCTCTTCATACAGAAGTTGTCATCGGAAAGTAGAGACTTATATATAAAGCTTCATGTCCAGTTCCAGCATCCAGTCAAGAGAGCAGATATCAAAGATATCCATGTACCAGTGAGATTCAAGAGACTTATCAACTGTTGAGTATACAGTTGTGAAGGTATCAAGTAAGAATAGAAAGGCTTATTGTGAATCGATTATCGAAGTATTGTTACAAGTGTGTTCCACTTCTATATTGAGTATTTTTATCATAGATTCAGGTGTAAATGCATAAACCAGAGAATATCATTCATATATGTAACCAATAATTGTGTACAACTGGCCGAAGTGTGTTTTCAGTATTATCTCCACCCCAACCTCACTTGGAGATATAAAAGTCACTGTATTGAATAAATGTGTTTATGTTAGCAGTGCGAAATTACATGTATTGGAAATCACTCTGGAAATGTCACTTTGTGTGAAAAATATTTCTTCGTGAAGGCTAAATAAAATTGGTAAAAAGTTCCATGTGAAACTTCGTGAAATAAGCATGGATGGTGTACTGATTTAGTAGTCCAAAGAAAATCCAAGAGTGATCTATTGCATAATACACATGTTTACATATATATATGTTGTAGAATAGTACATATTGTGACTCATAGGCCTAAGTGTTATAAGGCCATACAAAATAAATTGTGTGTTGAGTCAAAGGTATATTATATGTGGTAAACAAACACTTTTTATCAGAAACTAAGAGTGTCAATGCAAAGATGTAGTTGTGATACAAGAACATATAAACAAGAAAAGCCAAAAAAGCAACATGTGTTCGTGGTGGTGAATGGTGAGAAAAATACTTGGTGTTTAATTTACTAACATATAAATATATGTAGTATCAAGTTGAATTCCCGTGAACATTATTCATACTTAGTCTCTCAAGTTTAGAGTAACTCACTGCATAGTCATACAGGGAAAATATGACATGATTTAAATAACAGTACATTTTAGGCTAGAGTATTTCAGAAGTGTTTCACATATTAAATTAATACTGTGATTTAGATACATGCCAATTTGTATATGTTGATCATATCTGTCTGCAGATTCTACATAATATTAAAGTTACCCTATAGTAGATTAGATAAGATTTCTCTATGTAAGGCCAAAGCAAATAAATAAATTAGTACAAAATGCTTGGATTAGCTAGTATAGTGTACATTTAGGTCAAACCAATTAGACCCGGGACCTCTCGCATTAGCTTAGGTAATTGCTTGGATCTACCAGGGGAGAATCACATCTATATATGATTGGTAGTGAGAGTGTGGGAATTTAGATATATGGTCAAAATAGGCCACTACAAAATAAACACATGGTTGTTCAGATAGGTTTACAGTACCTGCATATTCCTTCATATTGTTTAAGCATAGACAATTACTGTGTGAGGAAAGGAAGTAAATCATAATCAAGAATTAAGGCCAAGAGAAATAACAATTTGTTTACTAGACGTGTAATACTTAGTCGAGAGGTGATACTGTTTAGTGATCATTTTGCTTCTGTCTTATGTTGACTGGTTACTAATTTGGTATTAATTGATAGGTTAGGCTAATCCAAATATCGGTTTGTTTCACAAGCAATTAAAGATTTTGGTATTACATTAATCCTGGTATGTCATAAGCAATTGGTCGCTAGACTTGGTATTTGAATCAACCAGGTGCATATTTGAACAGGCTAGGCCAAAATATTTGTTTGTTTAACAACCAATGATAGGTTTAGTATTGCAGTAGATTAGGTCATTCAAAATTGAAAGATAAGGCCAAGGCAATTCACGCATATGGTACACTTGCTATAAAATTGATTCAACGTATCAGATAAAGGTACTAAGTTGTACATCTACTGTTTGTATAGTATATAGTGTTAGGAAACTACTTATCTGTGGTTACTAAACTCAGTTGCCATATTCATAAAATACTCGTAATTATCTGTTAAAATGGCCGAGGGAGGAGAAAAAGATGATCAGTTTGAGATGTCAATGCAAGACAATAACCAAGATCATATACCATTGGAAAGGAAACCAGACATGAGAGAAAGACAACCCGACGTGAGAGAAAGACAACCAGATGCCAGAGGGAGGCAGAAACATGGAAACATAATATATATCCAAGATAAAACAAATGTGCCAAAGTTCGGTGGGAAACCAAAGCAAACTGGAGAGCTTGAAATTTATGACTGGATAGAAGACATTACCCACCAGATCCAGGCGAGGAACCTTTCAGACACTAATGCCGTAGAGTATGTGTTAAATCAATTAAAGGGGATGCAAGGGATGAGTTGCGGTACCGTCCCAAGGAGGAAAAAGATTCTCTCAACAAAGTTTTCAACATCCTTGAGGAAGTCTTTGGGGAAGAACACGATCTAGCTATCTTACAAGAAGCTTTTTATGGTCGAAATCAAAAAGATGCGAATGAGTCTTTACATGAATATTCATTAGCCTTGATGAAATTACATGCTAAGATTGAACATAAAACTCCAGATATGGATAGAAGATCTATAGATCGAGCTCTGAAAGGAAAATTCCAAGAGGGAGTAAAGGATCCTAGTCTGAGAAGGGAACTCAGAAAAATAAATTCAGAAGACAGAACAATACCATTCTACAAGTTCAGGGAAAAAGCTATAGTGTGGTATGGTGATGACACATCTACAGTACAGTCTAAACAAGTTAAAGTGGAAGTTGCTACAGTAAAACCTCAAGAACAAGATCAAATGTCAGAGTTGTTGAAGTCTCAAAAGGAGATGCTGACATTATTACAATCCCAACAAAACAAATTGAAGAGCCAAGAAGATTTAATGAAGAGTCAACAGGAT